TTTGTTAATGAAAAATGAAAATTATTTATACTTATTTATTAAGTAATAATTTATAAACCTTATATGAGCTGATTTCGATCGGGACAACCAGTTGATTTCAAATAATATTCAATCTGCGCTCGCGCTGCCCTCTATCTCAAAAACGATTCAACGTATGAAACAAAAGTTTAAGAGAATTTAATTCTCGACAATATTGATAACAAATACAATTAGCATAAAACCAATTGGAAACGAGATATTGGCAAAAACGTGCAAAAAGTCGATTTTTTTGACTTTTAACCCCCAATTTTTGAAGTTGCGGCCGTCGAATCGTATGTGAATTTTGATAATACTTTTATGATGCCAAAATACGGAAAGAACTCTTTTAAATACGTCTAAACTCAAAAAAATGTACACCATTGTTTAGAAAATTCAAACGATGTGCCACTTGCACCCTATTCTCTATTAAAATTCCAAGGGTTGTTTACCCCTCTGCTCCGGGGTTGAAGTGACAACGCTGTAAATAGTGGAGAAAACTGTCTCCCTCCCAATAAAAATCTACCATTCTGAGCGTTTTTTCGGATTTGCAAGATTAGTGCCCGAAACCTCCATGTCAAGTTTTCGATAACCCACCCTGTTTATTCAAAATAAATAACATATTGTATAGGTATCTTATCCTGTATTCCAAAGGACTGATTTTGTTTGAAGGCACGGAATAAGTGAATCTATTTTAATATTCAAGTTGAAAAAGTAATAATACTGAAAGTTTCTGCATGTTGTTTAATGAATCGAAATAAGTCACACTTTGTTGTGGGTCTTCGATGGTTCGTAGGTTGGAATTATGTGAAATATGAGCTCTGAAGTTCTCTATGGTCGCAAGTATTTATATATTTACACAAGAAGTGTCCGTTACAATTATTGAATCAAAAAAGAGTATATGAATAATTGTCCTTAAATCCTTGGATTTTTTCTATAGTATAACAATTTTCAATTAAAGGTAACTCATACACAAATTGAACTGAGAGCTAACGGCAACAATGTTGAATGTTAGAACTAAATTCTTACCGGGGACATTTTTATTGTCTATGCATCGCCATTCTAAACAATTGAAAAGTAAGATGGTTCCATAAAATTTGCCCCCCGTAACAAGATAGCTTCAGCATATCGATAGGATGTACGAGCGAATAGATGAACCAGTTCGTTAAATACTTTGAAACATCGGTAAACTGATCAACACTTCGCAGGTCTATTATAAAATATTAGCATGTGTTTAAGGAACACCCTGTATACTAAATAGAAAACACTAATATGGTTTTATATTTTGCTACCGAAAAGGGGTAAACAACATTTTTTGGTGCCAAAAAGGTGCTACAGTGTCTAAAAAAGTTTGGGAACCCCTGTCCTAAAAAAAAAGTACAGAATAATATTTTTCACGAAAGTATCCTGATGTTTAATTTTCCTCATGAAATTGAACGCGTAACGAATTCAAGTGTATTCAAAAGAATGTGTAAATGTGGGAATCTTTCAAAAAAAACAAGAAAGCAATTAATTTCCAAATGAATTATACACAAAGATGTGTAGTTCATGTAAAGAAGTAGCTTCC